GTTTCATTGAGGTATTATTTTTTTTTTTAATTTTATTATTATTTTTTTAATCTTGGCGGGGTTTAATTTCATGTGCTGTTGTGATTTTGCTTTCTTCGTTTGATTTCTGAGACATCTATGGACAATTTGGATATGTGAGGGTTGTCGCGAGGGGGAAATAATCTTTTACATCTGCCATTTTCAAATTACGACTGGGTGGTTTGTCGAAACGGCTTTTCCGTAATGTATTTGTATTCAATTCGTTCTTATCATACTTTTCTCATTAGAAGGAATTGCTTATGTGATCTTTTTTATGGGGTAAAATATGGTGAAGTCATTAACAGCTAATTTGACCTTAGCTCTAGCCAAATTATTCTATTGATTTGTATTTCTATCATTTTTCTGTATACAGATTTTCATAGGACTAGATACTTCCTAGCGGACTTGATTGTTTCCAATTATATTCAGTATTTCAGTTATTAGTACCGGATTCAAAATTGGAAAGGTCTTGGTTTTCCTCCTTTCTGTATAAGACTATTTCAATGAAATTTGTTTTTAATGTATGGTTGATATATCAGCAAGGCAAGAAGATGGTATCTGGATTGATAAATGCAAATCCTGTTGTATACGAAAAGAAAGAACGCCGGGCTCGAAACACTCCATGTGATAGTGACGAATATGCAGTGGAATCCATTGATCAGTTGGAAATTTTTGATATCCTTTTTAAAATTTTGAAATTTTCCGTCTGTTCTTCATTTCACTTTTGTGTTTTGGTTAAGTATTCACCATTCCTTACTAAATGTTGTCAGCACAAAACACCAAGACTCTTATAATTATTTGCAGCAACTACTTTGCTATGGAACTTCTTTTATCATAAGGATATGCTCTCTGTGGTACATAGGACAAGCATGGTCCAAGGAATCTTGTATATGTTGGCCTCATCTTTTGATGTCACTTCTCTTAATGGAATTGTGGTTTCTTATGCACTTTGTGTATGCTGTATTTGAAGAGGCATTTTTATTTATCAGTTTTATGGAATTCATTGGGTTTATGAAACAAATCATGTGGGTCTTCACACTGTATGATTTTTTTCTTAACAATCTTAAATCATATTAGAGATATAAAAGATCCTGAACACCCTTACTCTTTGGAAGAGCTTAAAGTGATAACAGAAGATGCAGTCGAAGTAGATGACGAGCATAGTTATGTGAGGTAACCTAAGATTTAGTAATTCTGTTGTCTAACCTCATTCATCAACCATAATTGTAACGTTTGTTTTATTCTGGTGTCTGTTCCCTTTCTGTAAATGATTTTGTTGCTCGCAGAGTTACATTTACTCCAACAGTTGAACATTGTAGCATGGCAACAGTTATTGGTTTGTGCTTAAGAGTGAAACTCATGAGGAACCTACCTTCTCGGTACAAGGTATTAATCTTGAATCTTGATCACTTATTATTGGCCATGCATCCATCATTATTTATGCATGGTGGGTGGGTCAATTAATACTCATATTTCAGCATTTAAAAGTAGAATCAAAATCAAGTGTGCTACATCGGGTTAAAATGACCCTTGTGAACTAGAGAGAAATGATGATTAGGATTCCACTTCTTCGAGAGGGCTCAAGTGTTAGGAACCACGACTCTCCACAATGGTATGATATTGTCCGCTTTGAGCATAAGCTCTCATGGCTTTGTTTTTTATTTTCCCAAAAGGCCTCATACCAATGGAGATATATTCCTTATAAACCCATGATCATCCCCTTAATCAGCCAATATGGGACTCCCTCCCAACAATCCTCAACACAGAGATTGTCTTAGAATTAGAGCTAGGCAAACAGATGGATACCACTCGTAGGAAATCTAGATTTTGAAGTTGAACTAGGCTGTAGGTTATTTGGGAAAATTAACTTCTACCGAGAGAGCTTTAGTGGATAGTAGTATAAGATAAGTACTCTGCTCTAAACGAACTGAAAAATTCGAATAATCACTCTATATGAAGATACCAGCTTCCGTAGAGATGGATGAACGTACAAAACAAAGCCACAAGAAGCCTTACATGTGAAGCTAAAGGCCACAAACAAACCAGAAGAATTACAAGAAAGATCCCTTTATCTATTGGTTAAGACAATTTCATATCGATAATGTGGTGATTTTAGAATCCCAAATTAGGAAATTTTCTACCCCATTCTAAAATTTGAGATAATTTCATTTTACATTACAGTTTTGTTGTTGATTGCTTAAAACCATTCTCCATTGTTTTAGGTGGACATTAGGGTAGCTCCTGGATCTCATGCTACTGAAGCAGCAGGTATCTCATTAACCTTACATTTTCTCGTATTTTATCTTCTATGCTGTGATACATTAATTAGTAGTCCGCACTCCTCACCAAGCCACAATAAGCATACTTTTCTATGAGCTTAGGTTAGGTGATGAGGTTTAACGCTTCCCCTGTGTTCTTCAGTAACTAGGTGTGTTGGATTGATGCCCCTTTATGTAGTTTTTGGTTCTCCATTTTTTGTGGGACTTGTTTTTTGTATGCACTTGTATATTCTTTTATACCGTCAATGAGCTCGGTTACCAAAATGAAAAATTCAATATTCAACCGAAGGGAAAGCTTTGATACCAAATGATAAGAATCAACCCAAGGAAAAGCTCTGATACCAAATGATAAAGAATCACTACAAGGGAAGTAAGATTTGGATTATTTTGTTGATCAAATATCTCAAGACAAGAACACTTGTTTGAGTTTTGAATCACTCCACAAGCAAGATTGATTCTGTCAAACTTGAATGAGTCTAAAAATTCAATCTAAACTACATAGAATTGTAAAGAAACTTAGTCATTGGCTAAAGGAAAGCACAAATGCTCGTTTTACTACATCTTTCAAGTCTCTTTACAAATACAACATATGACTTTATATAGCCTCAAAATGAAACCCTTGACCTTCCATTAGGCATTTCAAGAGTTGTAACACATATACTTTATGATCATAATTAACCACTAAAACGTAACTCAGAATTATGATCCACCCAAAATTTATAATAATGAAACTTGATTCTTCTTGAACGTGGCATGAACTGAATCATCTTTTGATAATTTTGAGAACATTTTCTTCACATCTTTCTTGAAGTTTATATTATATGAATTGATGTCTTGGTTCATTTGTGATAAGATTATATTGCATGATTGATGTCTTGGTTCATTCGTGATAAGTTGCCATTTGGAAAAATAATTATGAATGTTTTGCTCATAGCTGTGGTTCATAATTAAGAACATGTTGGCTCCTCAAGTCACAATTTTAATTTATTTTTCACATCTGCAGTAAACAAACAACTTAATGACAAAGAAAGAGTTGCAGCAGCACTGGAAAATCCAAATCTAGTAGACATGGTTGATGAATGCTTGGCTCCATCTTATAGTTGATCGAGTTGTGGGTGACAAATGCAGTGAGATCAATAATCATCTTAAAAATCCATTCAAATGGTATATTTTTGGTCCCTTTTATGGATATATGTATTATATGAGTTTACTAGAACGCACAATGTTCTGAAAATTTTCTTGGACATTTGTTTCTCTAAATCAGTAGGATACAACCATACAGATATCTCATCAAAGTGTTACCTGCACTTGGATGTCTTGTTATATAGGGTTGTATTTTTTAAAAAAATTGCATTGATCATTGAAGAATTTTTCTCACGTTCTTTTTTTTTTTGGAATGTAATCATTCATGTACTTCTTCAAGATTTTAGTTGCATTTGGATTCGTTGTTACATAGGCCTGTATTTTCTTAGGGGTTTGAGGTATGCCACGTTCTTCAAATTCTTAGGAAGGTATAGATTCATGCTCTAAATCATGCTAAAGGGGCTCGTTTGATTTTTACTAGAACTTTGATTAGTGAATTGAGATTCTTAACATTTTTTTAATATATATATTGGATAAATTATACAATGAGGCGTCTATGTGGTTGCCTCATTATACGCAGATTAAAAGTTCTCCGTGATTCCCTATGATGATTGAATATATATCACCAACTTAGTTTCATAATCTTTTAAACCTTTATATTTCATCTTAAATTTTAATAGATTTTTACTATGAGTAGTTTTGTATTTTAAGGGTGTTTATGAGTTTTAACTTTGCCATCGATAACTTCGAGCCTTCATGTAAGGGTGTATACGGGTTGGATTGAGTTGAAGAATCGGTGTCAGGTTGTTTTTTTAATTATTTAAAAAAAAATCAAAATCATATTTCTCACCGATACACTCACAAATTACAATATACCATTAATCTTTTTAAGTTTCATAATACTCTTAAAAGTAAGGTAAGGTTGTAATTTTATTTTGGAGTTGGTGAGGTCGCATTGGCTAAAAAAAAAAGTCAATCCACAAACAGACCTAAATTTTTTATTTTCCAAAACCTCAACCCAATTTAAATCGAAAAAAAAAAAAAAAAAAATCCCAAACTCAATCTTTATGATTTGGGTTTTGAAGTCGGACTTGCTCAGATTTTCGAGTCATTTGAACACTCTCCTTCTTTGCTTCGTCTTTTAAACCGAATAGAAATAAGGAAATCAATTTTTTAATATTTTTTAACAAACTAAAACGAAAGGAAAAATATAATTTTTTTTTTAATTTAATAATAAAAATTTAGGATATATTTTAAATAAAATTCGTTGCTGCGTTAGCTTCTATTAATAATTAACTTGAATGATGAACGATTAACAGTAGAACAGTTGTGAATTGAACTCGAGAATATTTGGAAAGGGAGAGTCAAACTGCTATTAATTTATTCTCTTTCGCCGGAGAGCTCTAGATTGAAGGGTGAATATCCGGTCAATATAGCTGCGAAGTGTTGAAAATCTTGTGAATTTCAACGTAGAAATCAACCGGAAAGCCAAAGTCGACGGTCGCTCTTCAGTCTTTTACAGTCGGAGTTCCGAGAGCTCAACAATTTGATTCAACTATTGCTCTCGAGCCTCCGGTTGTAATTGTATCATCACGATCTGTAAGCCGTCTCTACAGTCTTCTCTCTCTCTCTCTCTCTCTCTGGAATTCTTTTCTGGTATAAACACTTCCATTTTAATCTAAATCATTGATTTCCTGTGGTTCAGAAGGTGATTTGAAGTCGAAGTGGATCGAGGAAGAGCAGAAATGGCCGTGTAAGTCTGTTCGTTCCTTGCGTTGTTTATATTTATGCCTTTAAGCTTGAGGTTCATTTACGATTGATCGATTCAAGACTTTGTTTGTTTGAGATTCATTGTTGTTAGTTTGATTTTGTTCTCGAGAAATGAAATTAGTTAAACATCTGTTTAATTTTTACTAGTTCTTCAGCTTTAGGATGATCTCTATCTTTGGCTGTACGTTTTTCTTGAGACCTTATTTTTGCTGCAACATCGTATCTGCCAGGGTTGCTTCAGCTCCAGGGAAAGTTTTAGTGACAGGAGGTTACCTTGTCTTGGAGAAACCGAATGCAGGGCTCGTACTTAGTACCAATGCTCGTTTTTATGCAATTGTAAAACCAATTTACGAGGAAATCAAGCCTGGCAGCTGGGCATGGGTGCGTGGTTCTTTGATAATTATACCCTGTTGAACTTGTTGCTTCATAATCCTTCAAACTTCAGCTATGTGAACTACATTTCTTTTGGTAGTTGCACGTTGTTGATGATATGTTCGTTATTTTGTTCACGTATTAGTTTTCTGCCGAGTGGAAATAGTACATTGAGAATTGGGATCAAAGTAATTTCATGCTAATCTGAGAATAAAAAATGAAGTATTGGTAGTCGTATACTTCTGGCTTTGTGCGGTTTTCAACTTGGGGAGTATCACCTTGCTTAAACAACTTGCTACCTATGACTAGTCATCTGAGATGCATTAGATGAACACGACTCTTCACAATGGTATGATATTGTTCACTTTGAGCATAAGCTCTCATGGCTTTGTATTGGGCTTCCCCAAAAGACCTCATACAAATGGATATAGTATTCTTTGATTATAAACCCATGATCATTCCCTAAATTAGACGACTTGGGACTTTCATCCAACACCTCCCCTTAATCGAGGCTCGAATCCTTTTTCTTTTGGAGTCTTAGTCATTTTTTACTATTCCTTCAAGGCTCACAATACTTTTGTTCGACATTTGAGGATTCTATTGACATGGCTAAGTTAGGGCATGACTTTAATATCATGTTAGATGAACACGACTCTCCACAATGGTATGATATTGTCTACTTTGAGTATAAGCTCTCATGGCTATGTATTGGGCTTCCCCAAAAGGCCTCATACCAATGGAGATAGTATTCTTTGATTATAAACCCATGATCATTCCCTAAATTAGATGATATGAGACTTTCATCCAACAAGATGAACTCTTTGCTTAGAGAAAAGTAATTAGAAACGGAATTGTGTTTTTTTTTTCGTTCTATTATTACTATTACTTCTGGAAGTCGATGTATGTATAGTGCTAATATTCATAGCAACTGTTAAAAAAAAGTGGTCAATCAGCATATATCAGCTACATTTCTTTTGCTTAACGGCCCATATTTTTCAGTCATGGACAGATGTTAAGTTGACATCTCCTCAGCTCCTGAGAGAGAGCATCTACAAATTGTCATTGAAAACCCAATCTCTTCAGAGTGTCTCTCCAAGGCAAGTAAATTAGTTATTCTAGTTGAGTGTTGGAACTTCTGTTTATAAGCACCCGTATGTGCGGTTATCTGAATAAAACTGGCTAAATTCAGTTGTTTGTCTCATCTTAAATTCCTGAACTTCATCATTCTTGTATTTTCAGTGATTTAAATTACTATGGTTTTATCATATCATGGATGAGCTTTCCTTCTTTCTGTATCTCTAGTTATGGATTTCATTTAGTTGAGATCAGGTTATTAGTAAGATAGAGGTAAAATGCTTTTCAGTTCGCAAGTAATGCTCACTTATTAAGTATTGCATACTGTTTCCAGTCAAGCAAGAAACCCTTTTGTAGAAAAAGCAGTGGAATATTGCGTAGCAGCTGCATGTGCAAAATTTGTTGACAATGACAATAAGAATGCATTACACAAACTGCTCTTGCAGGGTAATGTCTAGTTTTTTTGCTCATAACCTATCTTGCAATAATCAAATTGCTTATATACCCTACTAACTCTATGCTTCATTTCTACTAAACTTACAGGTCTTGATATCACTATTTTAGGTTGCAATGAGTTCTACTCATATCGGAGTCAGGTACTATCCCATTGCTCTATCTCTCATTACCCTTGGGGGTGGGGGGGACACCTTATTGGGCGTTTATCCCTTTTTAATTGATTTTCTTGCTATGTTATTTGGCTGTACTCTAGAACTTTGCTTTTACAGTTTCTATTATGTCTGTTCCATAGATTGAGGCTCGTGGACTCCCGTTAACATCCGAATCCTTGGCTTCCTTGCCTCCTTTTTCATCAATTACCTTCAATGATGAGGAATCATATGGGGAAAATCGCAAGCCTGAAGTTGCAAAAACTGGATTGGGCTCATCTGCTGCCATGACAGCTGCTGTAGTTGCTGCTTTACTCAACTACCTTGGGGTTGTAAATCTTTCCTTACTGACAGGTGAGCAAGAACAGAAAGGTAGTGCTGATGTTGATTTGGTGCATATAATAGCTCAAAGTGCCCACTGCATTGCACAAGGAAAAGTTGGCAGTGGCTTTGATGTCAGTTCTGCAGTTTATGGCAGTCAACGCTATGTTCGGTTTTCACCAGAAGTGCTTTCTTCTGCTCAGGTCTCTTCTTGATGGGCTATCCCTCTTTACGTGTTGTTTGGTCATACTGCCTTCTGAACCTAAATAAAACAAATTCATCAGTTTTGGTGCATATGTCCTTCTAATATGAGAAGGTTGTTTATTTTCTACCTGTAGATTTTTATTATTAGATAAAATAGGATCCAATTTTATTCAGGTTTTGATGCATACGTCCTTGTAACATGCGAAGGTTGTTTTGTTTTCTGCCTGTAGATTTATATTATTTAAAATATTTTATCTTTGTCGAGATTAGCTACCATTCTAGTTTTAATTTACATTTTTTAGTTTATAGTTTTTGCTCATTTTAGTTAGTTTCCTGTTTATTATATCTTTAGTTTTATTCTTCTTTTATTTATTTATTTATTTATTTTTGTTGCTGTTGTTGCATGTAATGAGTCCAGTCATGAATTTTGTGATGAGACATTTTAGTTTGCTCACCAAGTGAAATAATTGATCTCCTCCGAAGTCTCAATTGATAAATAATAGCATCCTAGTCGTCCCTTGCCACTTTTTTTTAACCTTCTGCATCGTCATATAAGTTTAATTGAAATTCTGTAGCAACTGAAAACCAAGAAGAAATAGACTCAACGATGTTTGCTGAGCAACATTTTGACAAATATCAATTATTACTGTACATGGAGTTTAAAGCTATTGCCACATCCTCCATCCTAGAAACCTTTCATTTATATATACAGCCTCTCCACCAATGAGAAATTTCTTTGGATTGTCTTTCTTCTAATTCATAGTCCTGGAGGTAAATATCTCAATGAGAACATAGGTTTCCATAAATGCTCCTATCTTTTGGCATACCGATTTCAACTTTGAGAAATCTGGCACTATTGTATTCTACTTGGTGGATTTAGTAACTTGAAATCGAGAGAACAAAGGATAACACTTGGCTTGTTCATCATTTGTCACTTGTTTTAAGAAAAAAATGTACACCCCTTAAAACTTCCATTTCTTTCTGTTGCCTTATTGTTTATATCCAACCATGCAGGCTGCCAAGAACGGAATACCCGTACAAGAGGTCATTGTCGATATCTTAAATCAGAAGTGGGACCATGAGAGGACCAAGTTCTCTTTGCCTCCATTAATGACTCTTGTAAGCATCCGGATTCTGCCTCTTAAAAATGATTTTGGAAGGCATTTTTGTATTTACCGCTTCAAAAAGTTGTGTTTGGAAGTTATTTTGTGTGCTAAAGAAATGAGGCTCTATTAGTGAAGACGGATTTGAAAATTTCCCCACTTGATCTAATGTTGTGAGGCTCATACTTTCTTATAATGAACTTTCTGTAGGTTTTTAGCACTAATAACTATTTTAATCGTATTCAAATTTTCATGCCCCACATTGCGAAATTCAACTTTATTTGTTCCATAGGAATCTGAATGCCACCTTGAAGTGACTTGATCTTGTCATCGAAGGAACTCATGTTTTTTAATTCCATCAATTTTGATTTGTGATGTTCGATACAGTTTGTTTTTCTGGTCTGTCACTATTGAATCACTCTCATAGACAATTTTGTGAATTAATCTTTTTTTTTTTTTCCTTTACCGTCACTTTATTTTCAAGCTCTCTGTAAATCATTAAGCTCAGCGATTTACTATGCTTCGTTTACACAATAACCCATGCTTCTCAATTTTTTGTAGTGAGTTCTCTCCCTTTAAAAGGACGACTGATTTGGAGTGCATCTTGAATATATATATATATATATATATATATTCTTTTTTCTTTTTTTTTTTCTTTGCTAACAATTAAGAACCGGATGGGGGCGTAGAAATTTGAAATTCCAAATTGCATTTTTCCTTATCTTGGTCTTTGTACTTAAGTTATGTGCATTTGTATAACCTTTATATTCTTAAATTTTTTTCAATGAAAACTCAATTTCTCATACAATTGTTACTTCCACATATACTTTTTTCTTTCTTGTCCATCATCGTGGTGTTTTGATCAGGTACTTGGAGAGCCAGGAGTGGGAGGATCATCAACGCCTTCAATGGTAGGAGCTGTCAAGAAATGGCAAAAATCTGACCCTCAAAAGTCCCTAGACACGTGGAGGAAGTTGTCGCAAGGGAACTCAGAACTTGAAACTCAACTCAATATGTTGAGTAAACTTGCTGCAGAACACTGGGATTCTTATAAATATATCATAAACAGGTGTTCCATGCTGACCTCAGAGCAGGTATCTCTCTCACCCTTCTTATAATCTAAATCTATTACTGAAGTAGTAGCCTTTTTGGTGAAAAATGAAAAAGAAATACTAATATAGTTAATC